TGTCCTTTCCCCCTTCTCAGGATGTTGGGGTGGACAGTTTTCAGAATGTGATGGACTGGGTTGGGACTCTGGCATCTTGCTCTCCTCTGCTGGTTCCTACTGACCCTAGTGAGGTACCCCATCTCTCAGCTATGTCTTTAACTGTCCACACCCAAGTCTTCCTGGGAGGTTGATCACTTCTAGGTAAACTTCCCCTCTTGTCGCTGCTTCCTAGAGGCTTGATAAGCACTGGCTCAATCTTCAACAGCCCCAATCTCCAGCTTGTCTCTTTGCCTTCTGCAAGCTTGGAGGAATTAGAGTGATATCTCTTCTCCATTTTTGTTTCTGCCTAAAAATTAGATGACAACAGTGTACCTAGGTAGTCTCATGCTGCCTTTAGGCTTTTTATGTAACACCTTCATTCGAAAATTCGGAGTGGAGCCGCACTGGTGGCTGAGATCTGAGGATCATGTTTTGAAGCCAGCCAGGGCAGGAAAGTATGAGAGACTCTTACCTCCAATTAAATCACAGGAAAAGTGGATGTGGTACCACTGTGACTCAAGTGGTAAAGTGCTATGCTAGCCTTGAGCAAAAGAAGCTTAGCGACAGCACCCAGGACCAGAGTTCAAGCCTCAGGAGTTGCAAAAAAAAAAAAATCAAAGTGAACAAGGAGCACACATCTACTGATGATGGGTGCTGAAAATTCTCTCTGAAAGTCTCTGGTTTTACAGTTTTGATGGCGGAGAGGGAGAGAGAATCAACTACAAAAATGCTTGATCTATTTTCTTGCCTCTCTTCTATCTTCCTTTTCTTTCCTTTTTTGTGCCTTCCCACTGTGGATGGGAAGAAGTTGTGGTCATCCATCTCCCCAAATCTAGTTTGGGAAAGTAGTCAAGGTTCAGGGTGCACACTTGGAAATCAACATAGGGATGATGTCTGAAGTTGTCATGATGATAAGTTGTATTATGCCTCATGCCAAAGAGTCTGAAAGGTCATATTAAGAGTCACAAGAGAAGTCCATTACAAGAAGTAAAAACAAATTCTATAAAGAAAGCCTGACCATTCACTTTGTCATAAAAGGCGTTCAGAACCACTAACCAGGGTTTGGGACATGGGCTTAGAAAGTAAGGAGTCAGGGTGAATTGGCCAGAGTACTGTACAGATTCTTGGACTAGATGAATGCATTGAGAACACATTCTTCTCCCAGTCTGTAGTTTGTCTGCTTCTTAAGTTTGACTTGTGAATTTTTAATTTTGATGGAGTCAAATTTACCTTTTCGGTTCAGTGTTTAGTGCTTTTAGTGTTTTCCTTAAGAAACTGTCACATATACATGTTCCTACTATTTCTTTTGGAAGCATGATAGTTTTAGATTTTTCAACTTTGGTCTAAAATCCTCAAGCCACTCAATCACTATATAATGTGAGTTGAGATCTGCTTTTTTTTTTTTCCCTATAAATGCCTAGTTGTTCCAATACTGTCTGATGCAATTATGCCAAGGAAATTTTTAAAAGATTACCAAAGGAAATTGTGAGTGCAAAAGGGTACTTGACTCATATTTGAGTCATTCTTTGGACTCCAACAGTAACCATACAGAAATGACGACGAATATTTTTAAAAATAGTCATCACACAGAAATTTCTGACAATAAAATCTATTACCTATTAACTAACAAAATGATTTTATTATCTTCCTGAATGGCTAGTTTTTTTAAACCTTTCAGTATTTCTTTTATTTTACTAAGTGTCTTTGAAGACAAGTATATTCTTTTTTAAGACAAGTATATTCTTTTAGAGAGACAAATACTGATTCTAAACTTTGGTCGATTTTATGACCATACTATGATAAAAGCTAAACCTCTTCTAAATTGGAGGATTTTCATTTCTCCAGAGTTAAACAAAAAATGATAACACACACTAGGTGGGAGTTTTGGACCTAGAGAAGAAGAAAGAATTAGATTGGGTGGGGGGAGGGATGGCCTCCAACCTCAATCCTCCTAGTCTTGGCCTCCACTAGAGCTCTGGTGTCAAAGCTACTAATTACATGAAGTTACTGAACTTCAAATTGTGTAACATTAAATACATGGAAATATTTGTTTCTTTCATCACATGAGGCATATTTCAAATACTTTATAACCAGACCTCAAAAGGCTTTACAAATAAAATGATCTTATATCTCATTTTCACGGTCTTAGTTTACATACCTGTCCCTTCATAATTACTAATAGAAGTCCCTTTTCACTCTCAAAGTGTTTTCTTTTTCTTGGACAATAAATTAAACGTTTGTTGTAGCTAGAAATTTTGATGTAAAATTTTGACTATATTCTAAGAGCATTAGGAAGATATTAAAAATTTTAAACTGGCGGGGGGAGGCTGGGAAGGGATGGGAAGGGGAAACTAAGGAAGAGGCTACAATGCTTGATAAGAAATGTACTCATTATCTTGCCCATGTAATTGTAACTCCTCTGTACAGTATTTTCACAATTAAAAAAATTTTAAACTGGAAGCGGATATTTTCAAGTGTTTTGGAATAACCCTCAGACTTTATAGAGAATAATGAATTGGAGACCAGTTAGATCAGTTATCATATACATCAAGGCAAGAGATGATGATTATAGCCATGGCGCTCTGGATGGAGAGAAGTGGACTGGAATGTAAAGATGAATAGATAATATTTAGACAATAGACAGGAGAATAGATAATATCTAGGTATATGAACAAACAGGAATCAATTTGACTATTTTTCTAACTTGAAGTGCTAACCAGTTAGTTGTGTTATTTGCTCTGAAAGGAAGGAGATGGAAGAGGGAAGGAGCAGCTAATGATGGAGTTAGTCTCATGATTTTCTCTGTTAGATACTTGTGTCTGGAGTTGAAGGTACCATTCTGAAAAGATTGCCCAGATAGTATACACACACATATATAATATATATATATATATAACCTAGGGCTGAACCTGAAGGAGGAAGAATAGACGGTGCTGAATGATATGAAAATGTCAAGGAGGGAATAGTTTAGAAATCTCCATTGGGTTCATTTCTGTTTAGCTGCCTTCCCTGGAATTCATGTTTGCCAATGAAATCAAAACCATCCATCACAGAAGAGCGCTAGAGGTTTTTCATTGATTGTATTATGATGATTATCTTATAAAGAATTCCCAAATAAGTGTTTGAGATATTTCTCAAAGGTCTATATGTCTATCTTCCAAATAAAGCCAAATTAAATTACATTTTGATGCGTTTACTTATTACACATAAAAATTGTCCTCATCTCGGGAAGAATGAGACAGCTTCCCTAGACTAGAGGGCTGGACAGAGCAGACCACAGAGGTGACTGAGCTAGGAAGACCACTAGCTATGGCCTAAAACAGGGCTTGAACTCATAATCTCTGGGAGTTTCATAGTATCTTCAGATAACTGCTGCTATGCATGGAATAATTTATAAAGGGGAATTTTTTCCAGATTATATACACAAACATTTAATTCATAACCATTCTTGGAGTAGAGAGTTCTACCTACATTGAACAAGAGGAAAGAAACAGCCAAAATAGGCCTGGAGAGTCACTAGTAGGTATAAGAGCTAAGGAGAAGGCTTTTCGTCAGAACAGAGCAGGGTCCATGTTGTCCTCACTCTCTCCCCTTTGGCTTCCAACCTTTATTCCTAATTGTCAGATCTGCTTATGGACAATAGCTTCAAATGTGTCACCCTATGCCTGACTGCATATCACCGGAGGCAGTAACTTTCCAGAGATTTCTCCACAAGACTCCCTAGGGGAAATGTGACATTTGTATCCACATTAGCAATGTAGACTACAGGCACCAGTTGTCCACCCACCCCAATGGTGGGGGATTAGTGAATGACTATGATTCTCAAAGCTTCCCCATCTGGGATTTCATTTCCCCAGCTTTCCTCATGGTTGTGTAAGAGCTATTAATATAGCATAACCTTTATTCTGTAACCTTTCCAGTGGGTCTGCTTTCCTGTCTAGTACAATATGAGTAATGTTTGATGGTTTTTGTTACATAGTGCCAGATTACTTTTCTGAAAACTTATAACTAGTTCCATACCCACCACAAGTTTATGAAAATATTCACCTCAACCTTTTGACAGTATTAATGTTTCAAGTAGCTTTTAATTTTACAGGGAAAAGTTAAATATCTAGTTTTATTTTGTATCTCTTTGAACTTCATGAAACAACTATTTTTTTCTTATTCTTCAATACTTTCCTTTACCTTTAATATCAAGGATAATTACTTATGAAGACTTTTGAAAAGTTTGGGAAAACGTTGTGATAGCTTATTCATATTTCCTTTTGTGAATTTATCACTAGGTGGTTCCTGCCTACATTATTTGATTGGCTTAAGGTTTTTGTTAGGATTTATGCTATTTATTTTGAGTTATGGTTAAATATGGTCAACTTATTATTCATTAGGTGGAAGGTTAATCGGGCCTTTTGAATTGGAAAATAATGGAAACTAAGTCTACTAGACATAATAAATGAAGTAATACAGGAAACAATTTTAAAAATTATTCAAATCTTTGAGGATTTAGCCATAGGCACAATGTGCAGAGTACCAATGTGGAAATGAGTAAATTATACCAACATGAGTTTAGTTTTCTTTTCTTTTTTTGGGGGGGGGGGTCCAGTCATGGGGCCTGAACTCTGGGCCTGGGCACTGACCCTCAGCTCTTCAGCTCAAGGCTAGCGCTCTACCACTTGAGCCACAGCACCACTTCTAGCTTTTTTCTTTTTGCTGAGGAATCGAATCTTGGTGCTGAGGAATCGAACCCAGGGCCTCAGGCATGCAAGGCAAGCTCTTTACCACTGAGCCACCTTCCCAGCCCCGGTTTTCATTTTATTTGAGATTTAAACTCACAGGAGTGAACTCTAAATGGTCTTAGCTAATTTCAGACCCTGGCTCCTAACTCTTTCCAGTTGTTTAGTGGGAGGAGATGACTGTGGAAGGGGCCTCAAAAAGTCCCTTTGTCATTCACAATAGAAATTTATCACAATAAAATTTATTACTTTGCCAAGAGTATTTCCAATTCAAAAGAAGCAATTTCTCAAAGGAATCTGGGATGCTGTTGAGGCGGCATGACCATGGGCCAACCTCCAAACGTCCACAGGCCAGCTGTACTGCTCCCAGAAGAGCTGTCACTGACATTCCATAGTCAACTGATTTTGAGCTTAAAACAAACACGTATTTTACGAGCTGTCAGTTAGAAATCTCCCTAGGAAGAATATAAAATAAATGAATTTCCATTTTAAACTTCTGTAAGATGATCTGAGTTCTATGGGACTTTTAATCAGTAGTAGATTAAAACTTATGGGGATGCTTTGCAGATGCTTATTACGAAGGAAAACCTTTTGCTAGGAATGAAAGAATGCTGATGGTAGTCATTTCTAATCTGTGTAACAGCTTTTTTGTGAGCATTATTTCTTGAAAAGGTTGATGAACGCAACAAAAGAACTTACTCATCCCACAAGCCTTATCAAGAACTTTTAACATCTTTGATATTATAACAGGCCTTTTTATTCTCTGCAGTTACAGTTTAAAACATCCGTGTATATTATCAAGCAACATGGGACTAATCTCTTTTCCATTTGTTATCATGGCAACTATTTTACAATAAGAATAAGTAGTATGACCTGGTTTTCTGAATTGTTGGTTGAAAGTCTGTACTTTCTTGGCAGGTAAGTGGCCATTGAAAAGTCATTTTGAAAGGAAACAAAGCCTGAGTTTATAAACAATTGTATGTGAATAGAAAGTGTTACCATATCATGAAGGATCAAAGTCAGGATCTAAGAAGCTTTAGGAAGCACAGCTTCTTTCTTATTTGTCCTTCGCTGGACTTGTGACCTCTGATTTTCACTTTTCTGTACATCTCAATCTTTCTCCATCTCTTTTTTTATACCAACTTCTCTGCCTCTACACATAAGGTGCTTTCTATATAGAATTAGTTCCTGGTCTAGTCTCTGTATCGGTGAATTTGCCATGTAGAAACAACTGAAACCCAGAGGTAAAATTGAGTAATTTTAGCTGTGCTAATGATTTGAACATTCATAATTAGTTACGAGTCTTATGATGGCTAAAGAATTTGGGGGAAAGATCTGTGTCTGTAAATCCAGAGAACATTGCAAATTGCATCAAATTTCAACTATTACCTATGGTCGAAACGACTGCTTTAAATAGAACTTTCTTTGGTAGCAAAAGAGCAAATACTTTTTCATGACAGTAATTGCAGAATTTCAAGATATGCTGAGATTTTTTTTAAAGTTACTCTTAAGGTCTTTTTGAAAGTTTAATGAACTAAAGTCTATAACTAAACGCAAGTTAAAGATAGACTTTTCAAAAATCTATGTTTTAGTTAAGAATTTCTATTTAAGGTAGTAAAAAATCTACTGAAGCCAGACTAAAAAGGAAAGCCCCAAGCTTGATGAGAAAGCTAAGGGAAGTTTCAGAACTGCTAGGCAGGAAAATGGCCTCAAGTCCCAGTCAAACTAGAAAATGTCACCACCTTCGTTCTGTGTGTGAGACTCTTGGAGGATTCTTAGTCTCTCATCCCTGGTCCTTTGCTCATCAAATCTATTCCTACCACATGCATCCACCTCCTTCCTTCCTTCTTTCCTTCCCTCCCTCCCTCCCTTCCTTCTTCCCTCTTCTGCCCAAAGGTGAAAGGAGTAGTAGCAGGGTGTGTTGTACATGTAGAACAGACAGACACTCCATCTAAAAGGTAACACTGGAAAACTGAGTAGTAGTTGTTGTTGGGTTAAGATCTGAAAAGTTTGTTACAGTATTTCCTTTTAAAGTCTACATGAGAAAAAGAAAAAAATGTTTATATGAATGGTAGAACTTTCAATGTTTTTCTTGATATAAAAGGCACATTTAATTAAAGCATCATTTCATCATATCAATATTTTTTCTTTTTTTATTGTGAAAATACTGTACAGAGGGGTTACAATTACATGAGCAAGAACATGAGTACATTTCTTATCAAGCGTTGTAGCCTCCTCCTTTGTTTCCCTTCCCACCACATCCTCCCCCTGCCCCCCTCCACCCAACCCTCCTCCCCCCCACCACCAAAGTTGTAAAGTTTGTTTTCGACATAACGACTTGTATGTCTCATTGTTGCAATGGGTCCACCTGTATCCCTGTTTAAACAATTTGTTTTTCCCTTCCCCTCCACAAATAATAACAACATCAAATACAGTGAAAGCAGGGGTTATGCCGTGGGGGAGGGACATACAAAGCAACAAAGAAATCATCTTATGTGTTAGAAACAATCACCTGAAAGAAAAAAAACATTTGAATACATATCTTAGGGTTCATTTCCCTAACATCAACTTATCTGACCTTTTCTGCTAAGGGAAACCATGGGACCTATGTTTCTTTGAGTTGGGCTTACTTCACTTAATATAATTTTTTCCAAGTTTTTCCATTTCCTAACAAATGGGGCAATATCATTCTTTCTGATGGAGGCATAGAATTCCATTGTGTATATATACCACATTTTCTTGATCCATTCATCTACTGAGGGGCATCTGGGTTGGTTCCATATCTTAGCTATAGTAAATAATGCTGCAATAAACATAGTCGTGCTGGTAGCTTTAGTGTGGTCTTGTTTGTGAACTTTTGGGTAAATGCCCAAAAGTGGGATTGCTGGGCCATAGAGGAGCTCTATGTAGAGTCTTTTGAGGAACCTCCATACTGCTTTCCAAAGTGGTTGAACAAAAAGTTTACACTCCCACCAACAATGCAGTAAGGTTCCCTTCTGTCCACATCCCCTCCAGCATCTGTTATTAGAGTTCTTGATTTTAGCCATTCTAACTGGGGTGAGGTGGTATCTCAATGTTGTTTTGATTTGCATTTCTTTTATGGTTAGAGAGGTTGAGCATTTCTTCAAGTGTCTATTGGCCATACTTCTTTCCTCTTCAGAGAAGCTTCTCTTTAAGTCTTTAGCCCACTTATTTATTGGGCAGTTGTTTCTTTGAAGATTTGTTGTTGGGGGATTTAATTTTTTGAGTTCCAGGTATATTTTAGATATGAGCCCCTTGTCCATTGTATGGCTAGTGAAGATCTTCTCCCAATCCGTGGGCTTTCTATTGATCTTGCTAGCTATGTCTTTTGCCATGCAGAAGCTCTGCAATTTCATGCAATCCCATTTGTCCAACCTTTCTTTGTTGTGTTGTGTTTCTGGGTCTCTATTAAGACAATTTCGGCCTGTGCCAAGGAGACCTAGAGTTTCACCTATTCCATCCTGTAATGTTTTCAGAGTGTCTGCTTTGACTCCTAGGTCTTTGATCCATTTGGAGTTGATTCTGGTGCAAGATTATATAATAAGGATCTAGCTTTAGTTTTCTACAAGTAGTTAACCAATTTTGCCAGCACCATTTACTGAAGAGGCTGTCTTTCTTCCATTCTGTTTTTTTAGCTCCCTTATTGAAGGTTAGATGGCTATAGGTCTGTAGGTTCGTTTCTGGATTTTCAATTCTATTCCATTGGTCCTGAGGTCTGTTCTTGTGCCAGTACCAAGCTGTTTTTGATTACTATGGCTTTATAGTAGAGTTTGAAATTTGGTATTGATATTCCTCCAGCACTGTTCTCTCTGTTGAGGATTGTTTTTGCTATTCGGGGTCTTTTATTGTTCTATATGAAGTTTTGGATTGCCTCTTCTATTTCCTTGAAGAATGAGGTTGAAATATTGATAGGTATTGCACTGAATTTGTAGATAGCCTTGGGAAGTTCAATATTTTTTCTGATACTGAGGCTTGAACTTAGGACCTCACTCTGTTCAGCTTTCTTGCTTGGCTACCACTCTACTACTTGAGCCACATATCCAAAATGAGCGTATCATTTGATAGGAAAAATGGTGATGTGCTGATTGAAATTGATGCAGTAATATACATTTTTTCTTACTGTCATGATATGTTGCATATGACCTAGAAAAGTTAGTATCTGAAGTTTCTACTAAGGAGTAAGGATCCTGAGCCAAACCTTCGTTTCCTAGAACTAAACCAGACAGGCCACTTCAGATAGGGAAAAGGAAACACAATTGTTTATACTCATATGTACATTTTAAAGTTTAAATGTAACTCTGTGTGTGTGTGTGTGTGTGTGTGTGTGTGTGTGTGTGTCAGTACCAGGAGTGAGCTCAGGGCTTCATAAGCTCACTTTGCTTTCTTGCTCCCAGTTGGCACTCTACTATTTGAGCCACATCTGCAACCAGCTGGTAAATTGGAGACAGGGTCTCTCCAGCTTTTCTACCCAGGCTAGCTTCAAACATTATTCTCCAAGTGTCAGTCTCTGAATGGTTAGGATTACAGGTATGAGCCATAGGTACCTTGCTTATTCTGATTTTCTAGGGTACTACATACGCTCCTATTTTCTGCATGTAACTTCCAATTTTTCCTCAAAATAAAAATATAGTTGGGTATTATACTCACCGAGCACTTGATTTATATGGGAAAAATTGACTTTATAAATTGCCTAATGCATATCATTTTCATTCATAGGTATTTGAGCCTGGAAAAAAATACTTAGAAAATACTTTAGTCCATTTTTTTCTCTTGACAAAGGAGAACTCTGTCTCAGATGATAGTTAACTACCTTGTATAGACATTTCAAGTGCAAATGCTAAACCAGTAGAAGAGATCCCAAGTCATCTCAAAAGCACTCTACCTCCCCTATCTATACATAAGGCTAGGTTTTGAAAGAATAAAGCTAAATCCGTCCTTCCTTTCTTCGTTCGTTCCTTTCTTCCTTCCTTCCTTCCTTCGTTCTTTCTTTCTTTCCTTCCTTCCTTCCTTCGTTCGTTCGTTCGTTCCTTCCTTCCTTCCCTTCTTCTCTCCTTCCTTCCTCCCTCCTTTATCCTTCCTTCCTTGCTTTTCCTCCCTCTCTCCCTCTTAAAGTGAAAAGATTTTTTTTCTGACTTGCAACAATGCATGAGCTTTTCTTAAGTTTCACTTCACCTCAACACACGGTTGCATGTATTGTTTTATTCTACTTGGCATTTCATTCTATGATAAAAACTATATTCTCCCACTAATGGGAAGTCTTTGCCTTTTGTTTTCTTAAATTTTTGTTTTTTTAACAGTGCTTTCTCCCAAAGAGCATGTTGTTACCATTGTGGTAACTGAGAAACCTCATTTGCTTTGTGTCTCATAACTTTTTGTAATTACTGAAATG